GGTTGCTGTGATTCAGAGATGACTCGATGGCATATGACAACAACAGCAATGTGCTAGACCATGTGAGAGGCATTGGGGATAAAATGGTGAGCATTTATATTAACTAGATAAACAAAAAAAAAACCTGAAATATAACCACTGATTGTGGTCAGTCCTATGAAGAAAAAAAAATTTTTTTTGTTGTGATTTTGGGGAAAGTTTACAGAGCAAATTCATTTGCCATATAGCAGTTCACATACACTTTGTCTTATGATTGACTGCAATTTCCCACAGTGCAACAGCTGTCCTCCCACCTCCTCCCCATAGTTACCTCTTACCTGTGTCCTTCCCTCCCATGCACTCCTGCCCCCCCCCCCCAGCTGTGTCCCTGTGCATATACAGCCCTTCTATTCTCCCATGGTTGATCTCTCCAAGGAGTGTATCTACCTAATGTAAATACTCAGCTCATATGCCTGTCTTTTGTTTGGCTGGAAACCACAGGGCTGGGTTCAGTTCTAGACCCAAAGGGCAGCTAGGGGCCATAGTCTCAGGGGTTCCACAAGGCTCTATCAGACCAGCAAACCTGGTCTCTTTTTTTTTTGGTGATTTTGAGTTTTGTTCTACATTGTTCTCCCACTGTATCTAGGATCTCCTACATAGATCCCCCTCTGAGTTGTTGACAGTGGTAGCCGGGCACCATCTAGTTCTTCTGGTCTCATAGTGCTATAGGCTGAGGATCAATTGCATGGTGTACCAGTCCCTTGGACTAGTTGTTTCCGTGCATCTTTGGTTTTCATGAAGAAAAGTTTTATGATGCTGTGAAAGCCTTTGTGTGTGGAGGGGCAACATGATCTGATTTAGGGAGCTTTAGGATGCCTTTCAGAGGAATCTTAGCTGGAATTGGGACGTTGAGGAGATGGAGGCTGGGGTGGAAAGAGTATTCTGGGCAAAGGGAACTGCAAGTGCAATAGCGTCATGGTAGAAAGGAATATGAATCTTCCAGTGAGTGGAAAAAGGCTAGTGGGGCCTAGATTTTGAGGAGTTAGGAATAGACAAGGCTTAAGAGGCAGGCAATGGCAACAGAGATACTGTTGGGTTTCACTAACCATGATAAGGATTTTTATCTTTATCCTCAAAACAGTGGGGAACCATTAAAAACTTTGAAGCAGGGGAATGACATGGTCAGATTTCTATTTGGGGAAAAGAAGTCATTTACTGGAAATAACAGTTGGATTGGAGTTAAGAGTAATTTGTTGTTGTTGTTGTTATGTGCTGTTGAGTCAAACCCGACTCATAGCGACCCTCCTTGGGTTTCCGAGGCAGTATCGCTACGGAAGTAGGATTGCCCAACCTTCCTTCTGAGGAGTGGCTGGTGTTTGAACCACCAGCCGTCTGGTTAGCAGGCAAGTGTTTTAGGCAGTATCGCTACGGAAGTAGGATTGCCCAACCTTCCTTCTGAGGAGTGGCTGGTGTTTGAACCACCAGCCTTCTGGTTAGCAGGCAAGTGTTTTAGGCACTATGCTACCAGAGCTCCCAAGGGGAGGCCAATTTGGGGGCTATAACATTGGCCAAAAGAGAGATTGTGATGGCTCTGGTGGCATAGTGCCTAAGGCATTTGACTGCTAACCAGAAGGCTGGAGGTTCAAACCCACCAGCCACTCCTCACAAGGAAGGTTGGGGAATCTACTTCTGTAGAGATCCAGCCTCGGAAATCCAAGGAGGTGTTCCTGTGACTCAGATCCAACTCAACGGCAGTGAGTTTGGTTTGTTTTTTTCACAGCAGCAGTGGTGTGGAGGATGGAGAAAATGGTATGTGTTCGAAAGACATAGCAAGAAAAACTGAAATATTTTGGAGATAGTTTGGGTATGAGTGGTGGTATCACCTTACTTAACATGTTCATCAGTTTTGGGTCTGTTGAGGTGAAGGTGAGGTCACCTCTCCCCGCCCCCACGTTCAGAAATGAGATTAGTGCTAAAGAGGTTTGTTTACCTTTTGCTCTATGATCATAGGAATAGGATAGAAATTGCCAGTCCTTTGTTGTTCCTCCCCGTATTTGGCTTCACTTCCTCCCAGAACCATCTTCTTTATCTTTTAGCTTTATTTTGCTACTCCAGCCTAGGCTTCCCAAAGGCACACTACCCTAGTAGTCTCCCCACAGCTCTTCCAGTTCTGCTGCCTTCTTCTGCTCCCTTCCTTCTGAATGTGGCCTGGCAGTTTTGTTTTCTGAGCCTTTCCGCATGGAGCTTTCTCCATTTGGGGATTCCCTTTTTACCAGTCTTGGTCCCATTTCTTGCCTTATTTAACCCCTGACTCAACTTTATTCAGGATGCTTCCCAGAGAGGGATTTCCCTATTCTGCTCTGGACATACTTTTAATCCTCACAGCATTTTGAGTAGGTTTTGGATTAGAATGAAGCTCCCATATGCAAATATAGTTACATACTGCAAGTTCTCATTTTATTTCATTAAGCATACAGAAATTCCTCACTGAAGTGGGGCAGCAGGAACAGAAAACAGCATGTCTTGGATGCTGTTGGCCCTGGATCCTTGATTCTCTAATGGGAGTACAGTGGCTAGTGAAACTGAGTTCTCTAGGGACCAGGATTAAGAAAACTACTGAATTCTTGGTACATTGCACTTTTATACTCAGAGTTTACATGGTGATTCTGTGAGAACCTACATTATATTGTTCCTGGAAGGAATTTTTTCAGATTGTCATCCATTTTTGGTTCTTAAGTCAAACTTAGCACCTGCAAAGCAATGCCATCCTTAGGCAGGAGAAAGTAGAGTCAATGTCTGGGGACAGAGCAGTATCTCTGCATCTAGATTTCCAGTCTCTAGTCAGTGAAAAGCTCTTTCCTTGAAATTCTATGTTCTTGTGTCCTTTGTTCACATACACGGTGGCCTTTCATCTTTGTATTCCTAGTGCCTGCCACAGTGGCTGGTATATAGTAGTTACTTGGTAAATATCAGTTGCATGAATGAGTGAATGCATAAATGTAACATTCCTTTTCTAGTATGTGATCTTGCACCATTGCTTTTTAACTATTCTTGGGTAATTGTGTCCAATTGTGTGTCTGAGTATTCCATTCATTCACAACACCTGTTTTCCCCGTTAGTGGATCAGCTCCTCTGAGACAGATAGGTGTTGGTTTTTAATTTCTCTTGGGTCCAGTCCCGGCCTCCTTGGCTTGCTATGTCCTCCTGCCTTCCAGTCTCTACCTTCTTCCTTCTCATAAAACTTAAGTCCCACAAATTTTATGTGCCAGTTCTGGCCTAGGGACAGGGGAAATAAAAAAGGAGGAGACGTAGTCCCTGTGCTTGAGGAGAGAGCTGGATTAAACAGATGAGGGTGGTAAGGTGTAAGTATGCTGGGATGGCAGGCTGTCTGGCGTTTTGTGGGCCCCAGTGGAAGAGTGGGAAGGATGTCAGGGAGGAGGCAGTAATATGGCCATGCCCTGAAAGATGAATAGGTATAAACTAGGGTACTGTAGGCACATAGCAAAAAGGTTTATTATTAGCTCAGTTTAAAGAAAACCTGTTGTTGTTAGTTGGCCTCAAGTCTGTTCTGACTTGGGGTGACTCTATGTATTACAGAAGAGAACTGCTCTATAGGATTTTCTTGGATTACAGAAGAGAATTACTTTATAGGATTTTCTTGGCTGTATTTTTCTTTTTTTAAAAAATTGTAACTTGTGTAAAAGTTTACAGAACAAATTCATTTTCTGTGTAGCAATTCATCACACATTTTGTTTCATGACCTTGACTGCAGTCTCCATAATGTAACAGCTCTCTTCCCACTTTCTCCCTGTGGTTACCTTTTCCCTGTGTCCTTCTTTCCTGTGCATTCCTCCCATTTGAGTTATCTCTCTCTGCAAATATTGTCCTTCTGATTGCCCATGGTTGATGGTTTAAAGTAGTGTACTTACCTGGTGTAATTGTTCACCTTGTAGGCCAATCTGATGTTTGGCCGGAAGCCACGGGAGTGAGTTCAGGCCCAGTGGGTGATAGGGGTCATAATCTCGGGGGCCGACTCGATGGCAAATAACAACAACAACAACAACAACAACATCAGACCAGTAAGCCTGGTCTTTCTATGATTTTGAGTTTTGTTCCACATTTTTCTTCCACTTGATCCCGGATCTCCTATTTTGATCCCTTTCCAGGTGGTTGACAGTGGTAGCCAGGCACCATGTAGTTTTCCAGTCTCATGGTCATGTAGGCTGAGGTTCCCATGACTAGTCCTTTGGACTAATTGTTCCCATGTTTCTTTGATTTTCTTCATTCTCCTTTGCTCTGGATGAGGAGAAACCAATTGTTGCATCTTAGATGACTGTTTGCAAGCTTTTAAGACCCCAGTCACTACTCACCAAAATAGGATTTAGAACAATGTTTTTGGGTAGTATATTAATTCACTTGAGCTTGATGTCCCCCATGACCATGATTCTGAGCCCGTGGGCCCAGCAACTCACTCCTCAAGGTATTTGGCTGTGCCTAAGAAGTTTACAATAACTTTGCCCTCTGTTAGCTCTATTATATATATGGACATTCTTATAGCATGTACAAATTGATTGTAATCTTAATGGATGCAGATTGGTAGGCCTCTTCTTCTATTGTACCACTTGGTGGGTTTAAAATTACACCTTTTAGGTTAGTAGTCAAGCACAAACTACTTGTGCAATCTAGAGTCCTTAGAATAGCTTAAGTATGCACATTCTGACTAGGAGATGTTGATCTCTGGATTGAAATATGGATGGATCCCCTTGCCTGCTTTACCTCAGTTCCTTTCTAGATGTGGACTAGCAAAAGTGAAGTATATGTGAATGTGGTGTGTGTTTGTATTACAGAGACAAAGGAAAAATGAGAGATGAATGGATGGATGGATGGATGGAGGAAAGTGAACACAGCAGAGTCTAGCCTTCATCAACTAATAGATGCTATTGGCTTTTTAGCCAGCCATTCCATCTCAGTGTCTCTCTGAGGACGCTACTTGATACGCCTTCACCCTTCATGTCTTTTAGGTCAGGCTGTTCCTGTAGGATCTCACGTACGGCTGAATCTCCAGACTGGGGCAAGAGAACTGAAACTCCAATATAAAGACAAATTCCAAAATAATTTGAAAGGATCAAAAAAAGGCAAAAGGTACAGTGTTATCCCTAGGGACTTGGAGGGTAAGTGATGGCATTGATTTTATAATAGTAAAAGTAATGACAATGTAATGTTTCTTCCCCAAATTCATACAAATTTTTTTTTTTTAATTTAAAATTTAATAGTCTAGAATTTGTGATAAATCTGTCAGGGTTTTATGGATGTTTACTTCCATAGTCTTTGGAAAGAAACAGTTTGCAAAGCAAACTGATAATTTAAAAAACACTCTAGGGGGAATGCTTAACCTGCTTTAAAAATGAAGCTATTTTTCCCAGTACTTTAAGAGCACCCATTTGAATCCCAGCAATTAATGCACTGATTACAGATGAGTCATCTATTCATTAAAACAGGCCTGTTAGGCCTTCTGCTTTGCAGTGATACTTCCTTGGTGAACAATAAAATTGCATTTTAAAGTCTTTAATTCAGACTAACTCTTCCTCTTGTTAGTCCATATAAAACAGACTTTCTTACAGTGTTAAAGTAGAAGCAACTGCAGTTCTCCAGTGGCTAGAGTCCCCCCCCCCCCTTTTTTTTTAATAACTATTTTAGATTATTTGATTTTGGAGAATTCAACATCTCTATTTTTCTGTTGTTTGCTTAAAAAAGCTTTCTCTGCTTAGTATTTGTGCATGAGAGGGAAAAGAAAGAGTTTGAGGTCTGGGGTTACAAGGGGCTGCTGGATTTGTGCTACTTGGAAGGTCAGTATAAATACTAGTCGTGAAGTTTGTAACACAGAGGCCATAAAACTATTGCCTGTTTTTGTATGGTCCATGAGCTAAGTTGGTTTTTGTATTTTCTAATGGTTAGAGAAAATAAAAAGAGTATTTTATAATTCTTGAAAATTGTATGAAATCCAGATTTCAGTGTCTATAAATAAAGTTTTATTGAAATATAGCCATCTTATTCATTTATGGATTGTCTGTGGCTGCTTTCTTGTTACAATGGCAGAGTTGAGTAGTTGGAACAGAAACCAAAGGCCCACAAAGCCTTCAACATGATCTAACCCCTACAATGATTAGTCAATCCCTGTTCTACTACATGTAAAGTCTGCATGGATTGAGAATAAAATAATTTGATTTTTATTATTTAAAGAATACTTTCAGTTAAATAGGAAGCATCCTAAAATTGAAAGGTACTTTTGAGACTCAATTCTTACCTGAGTCTTTTTGACAGTATACCTGACACAAAGGTTATTGATCTGTTCATAGACAGTTATGTGGCAGTCAGAACTCCACAAAGCAGCCTGTTCAGATTCGGGCAGTTTTCACTGTTAGAAAAGTCTACTTTATATTGAAAGAGAGAGGCATTTGGCTTCCTTGTAGTCACCCCAACCTGGGAAAGATCTTTCATTTTCTTTCCTGTCTCCAGATAAGCCTAGACCTAGAGTGTCCCAGGTCAGAGGGTTGTTCCTTTCTCACAGCCATTTAAGAAAGAATCAAAGAAAATCCTTGCCAACCTCCCTTCCCAGCACACATACCAAAACCAAGCCCAAACCCATTGCCATCAAGTTAATTCTGACTCATAGTTAATCTAGAGGACAGAGTAGAACTAACCATAGAGTTTCCAAGGCTGTAAATATTTACAGAAGCACACTGCCTCACCTTTTTCCCATGGAGTAGCTGATGGGTTAGAATCGCCAACCTTTTGGTTAGCAGCCAGTACTTTAACCACTATGCCACCGGAGCTCCATTTTATATATATATATATATAAAATTTGACTACTAACCAGAAGGTTAGTGGTTCAAACCCACCAGAGACTGGGCAATATTCTTACATAAAGATTTACTGCCTCAGAAACCCAAGGGGGGTTGCTGTGAGCTGGAAATGACTTGATGGCAGTGAGTTTGGTTTTTCATTTATACATATAGAGACACAGAGTTTTGGATATATATATACACACGTATATAAATATATATGTATATAAATATATATATATGTAAATATATATATATACACACACACACACACACACACATATACATAAACACACACACTTTAGTGTCTCAAAGTACTTTCAGGAAGTCTTTTCTCACATCTAAGCTAAATCTTACTTTCTAAAGAAAACAACCTTTATTTTTACCCTTGGTTTAAGATACTTAAATTAGGAACTTGATTAATTTAGACTTTTTTATTTGTTGGTTTTTATATCATTGGATATTACTTCTGTAATACCTGATCATCAGTAAAAAGCTTATTGCTTTATCTATTGTTCGTATCTTTTTAGACTAGAAGGCAGAGCCCTTTCTGTGGTTTTTAGTAGACATGCTATAAGGAAGGAATATTTGTCCCCACTCCTGCTTCTTTACTTTTTTCCTTTGGAAGTTTTCTGAGAATTCTGCACTAGAATGGCCTCTGGGGTATTCTGGATATGTCTTCTTCCTTCTCAGCATTTGTAGCCAGTAGCAAATTTGTCTGAACATCAGTGCAAGGACATCAATAAAGTGGTATGGTATGGGTATTGAGTGCTGTGAGCTCAGTGAGTCTCTGGCTACCTTTGGCAGCAACTTCTTTCTCCTTGGGTGAACTATGCTCCTCCAATGCCACTTCCCAGGGTCTTCTCTACGTTCTAACACTAGAATGAAAACAGAGGCCTAAGTGCATTGGCCAGTTCCCTGAAATTGTTATAGTATTTTGCTTACCTGCTTATCCTGTTTTGAGGACAAGATCTTCAGATTCTGTCAGATTGTTAAAGAATTTGGTGAGCTCCAAAAAAAAAAAATAAATAAAATAAATTACTAGACGAGAGAGAGAGGGATAATACAATAAGCTGAATTCATACCGGCCTCTCCAGTACTCCTGCTGGATGGGTGGCTGATCATAATGCTACCTAAAGCTGTAATGCATAGGGGCTGGAGCTTTATGGTCTGGGACAGGGCCCCTGCCTCTGGCTTGTCCCAGAGGGTTCTTCTGGCACTTCGTGACCTTAGTTCATATTTGGCTTCTAGCAGTAGATTTTCCACTTGCTAGTTATGTTTCAGGCATTGCCATTGCCACTGGATTTAGGCCATATTACTGGATTAAATAGGAGCTCTGGTGGCATAGTGCCTAAGGTATTTGACTGCTAACCAGAAGGCTGGTGGTTCAAACTCATTGACATCTCCACAGTACATCCTTTTTATTGCCCTGGCACAGCCAGTGCTTAGAGGATTGAAGGACGATTTACACTGAAGCTGTCCTATCTTGGATTGAGCACTTAGGAAGGTACTGTATGGTATAATGCTTAAGGGCATGGGTAGTGATAGGACCATTTACTTACTCTATTAATTCATTTCACAAAAGACATATTAAAAGGTCATGCAGCAGGCACTGGGGATATAGTAGTAAACAAAGCAGATCATACACCAGCCTTATGGAGGGTGGCAGACAAAAACAGGAAAAGAAACACAAAAATAATATAATTCCAGATTGTGTTAAGTGTTAGGAAGAAATAAACAAGGTGATGAGTCCCTGGAGGAGACCACTTTTGATAGTATAGTTTGGGAAGATTTGATCAGGATGATAGTGAGATGAGATCTGAGAATGAAGATGATTTAGCTATGCAAAGGGTTGCCTTTATAAGTTTAGGATTAGAATATTTTAGGTAGTGGAAACAAGAAGAATCACTGGCTTTGTCAAGGAGAAGATTTTATCATGTTTGAGAAACAAAAATGATCAGTGTGACTAGAGACTAGGAAAAGGAAAAAGCTGATGGGAGCCGAGGTGGGCTAGATGGGGCATATCATCTGGAGTTTTAAGGAACATAGTGAGTGTACTTTTAATTTTAAGTGCAATGAAGAGCAATTGGGAGATTTTAAGCAGGAGAGGATTTGTTCCCATGATATTTGGAAAGATCATTCTGGTTGCTATGTATGTGGAAAATAGATTGAAGGTAGATCAAAGAAGAAACACAGAGACAATTAGTGTGTCACTTAAATAGACTGGGTATAACATATGATCTAATCTAGAGTATCACAATGGAGAGTGGATGAATTTGGAGATTTAATTTTGAGTTAGAACCAACAAGACTTGTTTACTATTTAGATGTAGAGTTTGAAGGAAAAGGGGGTATTTGGAATAAAGCTTCCTTTTGGGGTTTGAGAAACTAGGTGTTTGGAGATACCATTTATTGAAACAGAAAAAATTGAGAGAGGAACAGGCTTATGAGCAGTAGAATCAGGAGGCTATGTTTTAGATGTAATGAGTTTGAGGTATGTGTAAAACACTTAAGATTCGAGTGGAAATACATCAGTTACTATTAGCACTTGACTGCTAACCAGAAGGCTGGTGGTTCAAACCCACCAGCCACTCCTCTGAAAGAAGATGGAGCAATCTACTTCTCTAGTGATACTGCCTCAGAAACCCAAGGAGGGGTCGCTATGAGTCGGGCCTGACTCAGCGGCACATAACAACAACAACAACATTAGTTATACAAGAGCCTGGGGCCCTGCAGGAAGGTTTGGCCTAAAGATAAAAATTTGTGTATCATTGGCAGATAGATATTTAAAGAGAAGTAGGGGGAGAATGTGGAGATAGAGAAGATTGTCCAGAACAGAATTCCAAGGTATTTCACACACAAGCTTAAGTAGGAAAGGAAGAACCAGCTAAAGAATTAGAGAAGGGGTGAGCAAGAGGGAGAATCAGGAGAAAGTGGTAACAAGATGCCAAGAAAAGAGGGATGAACTATGTAAATGCTTTTCAGTGGTTGAAGAACATGAAGTTATTGAAGGTCCACTGAATTTGGCTATCCAGTTTTTGGTAATTTTGAAAACATTTTTAGTGGAGTTGTGGATAAAGGATCTAGATTAGAGTGAATAAATGGCAAAGTAATAAGGAGTCAAGAAGGTGGGGACAGTGAATGAAGAGAATGTGTTAAAAAAAGTTTTACTTTAAAGGAAAGCAGAGAAATGGCTTGATAACTTGAAGAGACTGGGGTCAAAAGAGTATTGGTATACTGATGGGAATAATTCAATTGAAAGGAAGGGAGAACTTGATGACATAGGAGAAGGGGGTGTAAT